ACATGCGTGTACGACGTAATGTTTCAGAGCTTCGACTCCGCAACGTACGGTTACTGTACCGTATAAATGTTATCTGAGTAATGGCGATGTGTGTGTGTGTGTGTGTGTGTGTGTTATGCCACAGTATATTGTTGTTGTGCACTGCTTAAAAATTAAATATATGAATAAATATATTGAATATTTTCGCACAAAACTAGCCACGCGTAAAAGCGCCGTGCAATTTCAAAGCACGCAGTTTTAATGCACTGTGAATTTGAAGCAGTACTATAAAAATCTGACAACATTGATTTGTACGATACGTCTAAATTACTGAAAATCACGGCCCGTTCAGCCGTAACTTTTGCACATTTGACTATCTGGGTAATATATTCTTGTTAACTATTGTGAAAATTGCAAAATGATAGAGAACTTTTCTACTCAGTTTAGTCCGTTCTATTAGCGGTATATATATATATTTAGCGGTCATTCTGGGACACCTTATATACACACTAAAAATAACAATTTGTATTTGTGTTAAAAAACACAATCCACTGAAATTCTTATTTTTTTATTAAATTTTTAACATATTTGAGTATTAATTGTATATTATTCAATTAATTGTTATTACATACATAATTTGTTGCCATTGGGATCACAAATGAATAAAGTGATAATGTTATTAATTTAAAACAATAAATAACAATAAAGTTAAGCTAATTTAAAAGGTTATTAATTTACAGATATCCGAATTTGAAGCAATCTGGATTATCGCAGATGCCACGACTGGTGGTGTTCACTTCGGAGGACGCGCACTATTCTGTGAAGAAGCTCGCCGCGTTCCTGGGAATCGGTTATGATAACGTATATCTGATCAAGATCGACTCTCGTGGCAAAATGATGGTCTCTGATCTGGAGGCTCAGATCGCCCGAGCCGTCGAGGAGGGCGCCGCGCCGCTCATGGTATCCGCCACCGCGGGAACCACCGTGATAGGCGCATTTGATCCCTTGAGAGAGATCGCGGAAGTCTGCAGAAAACATGGACTATGGTTCCACGTGGATGCCGCGTGGGGCGGAGGTGCACTTGTCTCCGGAACGTACCGTGGCCTCCTGGACGGCATCCAGTTCGCTGACTCAGTCACCTGGAACCCCCACAAGTTGCTCGCCGCGCCGCAACAGTGTTCCACCCTGCTGCTCCGTCATGAAGGTCTCCTCTTTATTCTTATATTTCTCCTCTTTCCTTATACTTTGTACTTTTGTCTCTTCATTTTTATTCATTTTTCATAGAGAAATTTTATTCGTACGTTTTTTAATTTATACTCTATTTATATTTTACTTTATATTTTAACAATGAGATGATCTTATCTTAAAATTAAAATATCGTGTAATTGTGTAAATTTTAATTAATTAAATTAATTGATTTATAAGTTAATCATTTAATGTAATTTTGTTATATTTTTTTATATACTATTTTATCAATATTTTACCTAATTCGTAACTTTTCAATATTTTGAATTGTAATCGCGAAAAAGATTATTAAAATTTCCAGTCTTTTTTTATATATATTCTGGAACATCGCGTAAGTGATAAATTTATAAACGGAGTTTCACCCTTAGGTTTATTACAAGCGGCGCACGGCTGCGGGGCGAGCTACCTTTTCCAGAACGACAAGTTCTACGACGCGTCATTCGACTGCGGTGATCGCCACGTGCAATGCGGCCGCCGCGCCGACGTCGTCAAATTCTGGTACATGTGGAAGGCGAAGGGCACGCGCGGCCTTCAGGCCCACGTCGACCGCTTGTTCGCGCTTTCGCGTCACTTTACCGATCTCATCAGGACACGCGATGGCTGGCACTTGCTCGTCGAGCCGGAGTGCATCAACGTTTGCTTCCGCTACATTCCGCCGTCGAAAAGGCACCTGGCCGGCCAGGAACTCGAACAGGCGCTTCACAAGGTGCACATTCGACTCTATTTAATCTAAGCGCGTTTTTATTGACGGCACTTACAGGTGTAAACTAATGAATTTTATGTAGGAGAATTAACCGATACAGTACAGAATTTGCAGTAATATCACTGCGATAACGCTGCAATATTGTTGCTGCAACTTTTATGCTGTAGGAGAAGTGAATTATTTTTGTTCCGTTTGGATTGAGATACTAGACCCAACATCTTGATTGTTTCTATATTGTTAACTATATAAAGTGGTTATTTTTAACACATCACATTTGTTTTTAGCTTTTGTGCTATTTTGAATTTATAATTTATTTTCTTCTATTTTGTTAATTTGTATGTTTTGATTTTATTTTGATGAAATCGTTGCAGATCGCGCCGATAATTAAGGAACGCATGGTACGAGCAGGAACAATGTTGATTACGTATCAGACATTGAGAAATATGCCCAATTTCTTCAGATTGGTGCTGCAGAACTCGGGACTAACGGAAACTGATATGAAGTTCTTCGTTGAGGAGATAGAAAGGCTCGCCATGGACCTTTGATTAAGTTCAATCAATACGATTGGTAAATAGCAAGTATTGTAAATAGCGATATAGACTGTGTATGTATGACTAGCTTAAGAAATATTTGCACTTGGTAAATCTACGTGTGATTCGTGTTGAGAGAGAACAAGAAACGATCATTAGCGTCTCTCTCCATTTTCTTTTTAATTTATGTATAACGCGCGCACATTCCATTTTAATTATATTATTTTAATTATATATGTATTATAGTCTTCTCTCTTCTCTTCTGCGTTCTTATTACTTTCTTTCTCCTTATTTTCTTCCTCTTTAATCGTCGTTCATATCCTTCGCAAGGATTTACGAATTAATCAATTTAGAATAAAAAAGCGGGTGAAAGAGAGAATTATCAAATTAAAGACAAAAATGTAAGGAAAAGTAGAAGTCAATGCAACTTTGTGCACAAATATAACAATGGATGTATTTAAAAATCCATTTTTAATATAAAAATGTGTATTGTCGGTATAATATTCGTGTTTCGACTTACTTCAAGTCATTCTCAACGGAATTAAACATAATATTAAAATAAATAAGGGCTATTAATTAAGAGCTGTTTGTCAACATATTTCACATAGCTGCTAATATATTGTCATATATTATTCGATATTAAGTTCCCACTGAGGATGACCATATTAAAGGTCGAAACGTATGAGTAATTTTTGTATTTGACGAATATATACTATTTCTGCAAAAGACACCCAGCGTTTGACTCTTAATAGCCTTTATTTTAATATTTGAATTGTTAATTCTATTGAGCCGTTTAATAGTTTCATTTATAATTATTGAACATAATAATTCTATTTTGTGCAAGTAGTGCACCAACCATGGTCAATTATCCAACATATTAAAGAGATTCCTTAGATTCATTCCAGTACTGGATTATATTACCGACATTACACACTTTTATATTAAAAATGGAATTTTAAACACATCCATTGTTATACTTGCGCACGAAGTACCGCGCTGACTCCTACTTCCCCTTATATTCTTGTCTCTAATTCGTTAAATATTAAGGAGTCCTTTAACATTTATTGTTCTCATTAGAGAGAATTTATTCTACAGTTTATTCTGTATATATGTTGTCGAATTGCAAGAAATAAAAAACCAATTAAAAAAAGAAAAAATTAATATTTACTTAATTGGAAGTCGATTAGGAAAGAATAGGAAATCGCAAAAAATATAGCAGATTAACTGCAACAATATTGAATTTCTCTTCTTGTTGACTATTGTATGTATAATATAATATCGATCGTTGTCGGCATAACGATATAACTACCAGATATTTACAGGTATCCTTTAGCAATAATTTACATTTACATTTACAACGATTTAAAGTTTCGTCACGATTTCTACACAAACACAACTCAATAACAATATCGTATGCGATAACTGTCTCTCAATAATGAGTTATTAATCGTAATAAAAATATTTCATTCGCGATGCGTTTGGATCGGAAATTAGTCCTCACGCAGATATGCACAGCCCCATGCGGTTACTCCTCATTAATTCCTATTCCAATTCTTTACAATCTCAATTTTTTTAATCAAAAATATATTATATTTAACTGTATTCCTTAAGGAACTTGATGTGGAATTGCTTCAGTGCTTTGAGCATTGTTTTGATTTTCTCTTTTTGCGGCAGTATCGTGGTCCGGAAATGGTATGTACCGGGTATCTGACCGAAGCCCGAGCCCGGAATTACACAAATCCCGGTGCTCTCCAGCAGTTTAAACGCGTAGAAGACGTCTGGTTCTTGATCTTTCGCTCGCGCCGCCTCAATCGCTTTTGGCGGCAACTCGAAACGCGGGAACACATACATCGCGCCCATCGGCGGATTCGCCTGAAAAGGAAAAACAAAGACATTGTAAAAACTCCGTCGAGCGTAGTTTTCATTGGCTATTCTATGAAAGGACAATCACCTTATATCCTGGAATACTATTGAGTGTGTCGACGACGAGCTGCGATCTCTCTGCTAAAGACCGTAGAGTTTCCTTTTTCTCTTTCTGGAATTGCTCATACGATGGCTCATTCGATCGCGGCGGATTCACCACAACATCCATCACGACCTGGCCGAGCACTGTAGGACATAGCATCGCAGAGATCGACTTCAATAGCACCTTCATCACTTCCGGATCCATGTTGATAATTTCAGCGTAACCACCACGGATCCCGCATTCACCCATATATCCTGAAAATAAAATGCCCGGAATGCTTCTGAAATTTCTTAAGAAATCTATTCATGAATTTAATTTGATAATCAAAATTCAATAATTTTTCAAATCAAATATTCCTGTTCAATGTTTCAACTAAATCAATAAATTATTACGGACATAATTTAAGAATTCAATGTCCCTTGATTAAATTGTCTTGAAAGTCTAATATTTCAAATAAATTGTTTTTAGCGATTCCTATCTCTAAAAATGTTTCGATTCTCAAACTCTTTTTTCGCGTACCTTTCGAGATAGACATAAATGATGCCAATTCCATCTTCGAATACGGCTCGCCCATCTCCGTCATGACTTTCTTGAAAGAATGGAATGCACTGTCTTTATCGTATATGTTATCCTGGTAGACCTCGTCGGCCAGCAAGAACAGATGATATTTATGGGCGAAGCGGATGACGTTTTCAATGTTCTTGCGAGTCAATACTTGACCGGTTGGATTACCAGGATTGATAACCACCAACACGCGAGGATTACATGTATTCTTGACTTCTCTTAATGCTCGTTCCAGCTCGTTGACTTCTAGCGACCACTTGTTATCCTCATCCAGATAGTACCCGATTTGAGCGAGTCCAAACTCCGCCAGGGTCGCCGAATACAGAGGATATTGCGGAATTGGGATCAGAATGCCGGATGGCTTATCGTTGATCCTTTCGTTGAATAGTTTCAGGAATGACTAAAAAGAGAAAATTCAGAATTAGATAAGAATATATTTAAAAAAAGGTAATATAGCGTCATTATACTGTTAGTTACTATAACAGACTCAGTCTGTTCAAAATATCAAAGTTAAAATGCCAATTTTATATGCCATGCATTGCATACGTGAAAGTCATTGTTTAATGTAAAGTTTTTCAACTAGTGCTATGAAAATTCCAGAGAAAATAAAAAGAAGCAAAATAGAAATAAAAAGCAATTATAACACGCAAGATAAAAAATATTTTTTAAATTATAAAAGTTATATTTATTCTTATTAAATCATGTTTATTCTCACTTGAACTAAAACAATATCGTCATTCAATAAAATTACTTTTAAAACAATGAGATAAAACAATAGAAACTCTAGAATTTAATTCTGTTTATTTTTAACTGTTGGCGGTCGTGTTGGCGGTATTGGACAAAAGATCTATGCTGAGAGCTGCAGAAGCATGTGCATCGGTAATGATGTATCTTGATAAATTTGGCACGTTATTTATAAATGTGTTATAAATTAAAGGAGGTTGAAAAACACTGGTCTAATACATAAATATATATATGCTGTACGCATAAAATAACTTTATATGCTTATTATTATATAGAAAAATTGTGGACTTTAACGGTATTTAAGATCGCAAAGACTTTCATCTTTTTCAGTATTCTTTAACATCACTTTCCGTTTTGCCTTCTTACATTTGTCAACTTATTATTCTTTACCCAGAGAAAAGATTACAAATAAATTTTATTTTATTTTAAAAAATAATATTTAAATCAAAGAAATGACGTTCACAAATCAAAGAAATTTTTTCTTTAACCATATAGCAAAGAAACATTTCTTTAAATCAAAGAAATCTTTCTCTGGGAGAACACAACTTGCATTACATTAAACAACTAGATTGCTTTCAAATGTTTTGAATAATAGAGAGATAATTGGAATCTAAGTACCTTGATACCATCAGAAGCACCGTTCGAGAGGATAACGTTATGGTAATCGCAAGGGATACCGCCATCGCGTTCCTGGATGTACTGTGCAACATGCTTGCGAATACACTCAATACCAGCCGATTCAGAATACGAGCCAACGCTGCCGCCCTTGCAACCTCCCAGGACCAACCTGGCACGATCCTTCGCGTCTTCCGGGTAGCTCGGATCATCCAACAGATTCGGCGAGACCGTCAGGGTGAGTACTTGCCGCAGGAACGTGATAGGCTGCTGACCCATCGCGTGGGCATCGCCCACGTTCGCTTTGATTACTTCCTTGAAGGGTTTATCAACGCCCTGCAAAGAGAAACAAGCTTAAATCCTAATGCAATCCACATGCTTATTTTTCAAACATTTCTGAACTTTTCAGCGACTATACACTAAAAAAAATGCATGTAATTTTACATGGAAATTACTTAAATTACATAAATATGATTGGAAATTTACTGGAAATTATAAATTTCCAATCATATTTGAGCACAGAAAAAAAATGAATTCTGATTCACGTATAATTTTTAATTCTTGAATGCTATTTATTTTTATTTAAGTACAGAATTTCTCTTCAATTATAAATGTTCACTGGCATCAATAATAAATAGATTTATGCAAAGTATACTTTATTCTTAAAATTGTATTCTTGTTTCTAAATTCATTATATGATTCTAACAAATTCAATCGTATTATTTACAAACTATTTATTCTTGAATTAAGAATAATAAATTTGAAAATTCGCCGGCAGGCGGCAACAGTGTGTGTAAGGGCCCCTCAGTCAAGATGTCGGAAGTGCATGGATGTAGTGAATGACGATTGACGGTGATTTTGTGAGCGAACTGTTACATTCGTGGAACATATCTCTAAATGTAGTTCAATCTTTAAGGGTGAATGAAATATTCAGCTCCTTCCTAATGTTTCTGTCAGTTATATTGCAAATGGGGATGCGCGAACAGCCGGCCGACTTTGTCACTGCGATGTGACGAAGAGGCGCCTATGCGGGCGGATTTTTCGCGGCGGATTTGTGGATTTGCTAGATTCACAGTTAAAGAGTGAGATGAGCAATGAATCCATCGCAGCGGATCCACCTCTACATGCAGCCAGCGTTCTCTACCATTGTGACGAGGTTGACCGTCTATTTGCATCCTTATTTGCAATACGGTTAACGGAGGTTGGTAATAGAGTCTTAGCATTTTACTTGCCTTTGAGCTACATTAGTAGAGGGTATAATCCAAGTTTGATTCAGTTTTTTCTTGGGAGCTTGTACCCCGTGCACATTAAGAGACACGCTCTATAAATGTGGCACTTTATTTACAAAGCTATTGTCACTTACTGCAATATTGGTTTCTGTCATCTTGTTACTAAAAAGCATACTGGGAGTTTGAAATAAGTTAACAAAAGGTCATTGAAGAAAAAATAATGCTAATATATTATAATGCTAATATAATAAGCATATTTAATGTTGAACGAGCAACTTTATTCTTTTTATTGAAATAAAATTTATTTTGAATTAAGAATTTATTTTATTTTACGAATAATTTATTGTTAATCGGAAATTGTTTATTCTTGGCGCTATTCTAAGCATAAAATATTCTTGGCTTAAAGCATTTATGCATTTCTTTAAGAATTCATTTTGTTCATATACAAATCAAAATTTTGTTGAAGCAAGGTTTATTTGAAGTCAAACGGAAAGTAAGATTTTTATATTTATTCCAATCCTTGAGACTTATAATTCACAGAAATGCGCGATATCTTTTAATTACTTATAATGCAAATAATGTATGTATTTCAGTTGTTGTTTCTACAAAAATACCGAAATCTTAAGATGTATTATTCTTTATATATAATCTAGTGAAAAATCTTTTTACATAATTGTTTATAAAATTTTTTATAGAATTTGTGTTTAAATTGCAGAATCTTTGAAATTTCTGTATAATTTTATAATTTAATTAAATGTGAGAAATCCTATTCTTTATTTTATATCCAATTCTGAAACTCTTTTTCATTCTTGAAACTCTCAAAACGTTTGCAAAATTGAATATATATTTAACATGAATTCATACCAAAATATTGAAGCATTGAAATCTGTTTTGATCGAAAATATGATTTCTCTTACTTAATAATAGATTTATTTTCATTGATCCAATTTTAAATAATAGTAATTTTATAAATTTTAAATAAATTTTTTAGCATTTTTTATATAAGTTGGATTTTTTAAAAATTCTTCATATATGTGTGAATTCTGAAATAATTGAAGATTTAAAAAATTTTCTCTAATTTCTGTAGAAAATATATGAGGTTTTTTAAACAAAATTTTTTAATTTTTAATTTTTTAGAGCTTTTTAATTACACTGATCTGTACAATTTAATCATACAATAAATTTGAACAGCAAAGTTAAAGTATTTTTTAAAATTGTTAGTAAGTGGCTCAAATAAATTACAAAGGTTAAATAATAAAGAGCATACAGTCACGACAAAGGATGTAAACAAAATGTATATTTTTAAAAAATTTCCAAATAAATAAGTAGACGTTTCGATCAAGATTTGACCATCCTCAGTACAAAAAGTATTTTAAAGTTTTTTTTTTCAGAAAGTTTTATGAGTTTAAATATGACATATTTTTAAAAATATAAGAATTAATTTTAAAAATATGAAAGTTTAAATTTGTGCATCAAGAAAATTAAGTAATTAAGTAAATAATTTTCGAGTAAAAAAAAGTCACATATTTTTATACTCGAAACTATCAGAGGAAATAATATCATTCTGATAAACTGGGTAAACTTCGCACCGCAATACTACGTCATCGACGAGCGTTATGCAATTGCGTGTAAAGTGAATAGAAATGTGACAATGTAGACATATGGCATAATAATATTATTTAGCACGTAATTTCATTGATGAATTAAACGCATTTCTTTTTTTTCCAACAAACTGATCGTTTGCATTTATGAAAGATTGATACTCCTATATTAAAAATTTTAAACGTATTTGGCGCTTTAAAAAGAAAAAAAGAGCATAAAAGAGCAAAAGCAGCATTTTCGAGATTCTAAGCACTTTGAAATCAACAAAATTGGAATAGTGCGGCTTGAGCAGATGTCTCTAGAGAAATGCGTTTAATCAGGTACACCCTATATATCCGTAAACGACATAAAAGTTCCGAAAGAATATCGTTTATGAGGAAACATTATTCAGAGAGATAATGGCACAAATATATCTAGTCTTCTCGCCCTCGACACTCTCAATTAAACATTTTTTTTTTTAATCACTCTGCATTTTCATACAGTGTATACGTTTCCATTAGTAATAACGTCATTTCTCGGGTTTAATAACGTGATAAGAGGCTACCATATGTGTCTGGCCAGTAGATCATCGAAATAAAAGTTACTCGTTCCAGGCTACTCGAGGCAATGGCGTTACGTTCTCACACTGTAGGAGACATAAATGCTTGTCGATTACATGATTGAATGCAGATAAAATGCGTACTACAATTATATGTACTATAAAATACTTCGCGTTATCAATACGCATTATCGTACACTCTATTATCGTACGATATCTTATAATTAATTTTTTCTTAGATAACAATACACAATTGCACGCGATATGTTCGAATTGTTCCCATTTTATTTGTAAAAGAAATAATTTAGGTAAATGTGTATTAAATAACTTGAGTAAAAATATTATATATTAATTAATATTTCGATATTCTACATTGCATTCATTTATATTTTATTATTTGCAGAGCAGATAATTTAA